AAAAAAAAAAAAAAGAAATTGAATGATTTTTCAATGTACATTCAGTAACTTCTCAACCTCAAGAAAAATATTAGTAGATTCAGACTAACGTTGGAGCTAAAAATCTTTCTTTTTCTGTTCTTGTTTTACTTCTACTTATTTTGTACTTTGTCATTTCAAAGCTAGAAAAATTACCAGTACTTGTAGTTTTCTCTCCTTCTTTATTTCCAGGAGTTATGGAAGGGGTAGTGGTGGAAGAAGTCTCTGATGAAGCCCTCATCTCTGGATAGACTTTACATTGTGAGATCCCTGGTAAAAAAGCTACAAAACAAAATAGAAAAGATGAAATGACAATTTTAGGAGAAAACTTTATCCTGCCTTTGATTTTACCTGATCAAACTCTACCCAGCTGATAGTAAACTTCTAATTATGGTCCTATTAACCTCTCTGTCCATAGGTTTAGGGTGTGGGCACAATATTATACCAAGAGTAAATGAGGATAGAGATACTAATAAGAGATATGGATTAAATCCCCATAGGACTTTTGACTATCATAGGATCAGAGTGAAGGAGTGGACCATATCTTGTTTCCCTATCATTCTTTAGGTCATAATAATAATAAAGATGGAGGGCGGAAAAACTATTGAGGTTTCCTTCTTTAAAAAGAGATGGCTCCAAAGTCCAAGGAAGAACGTGAAATATCACAATTAGCCTTCATGACTTTTGCAAGTGTGTCTAGTAGAATCTAAGTCAACTACTCTGAGAGGGCACTGGGGGAAGCAGGAGGAGCTGGAAGAAGGAAAAGCCACCCAGCTTCATGCACTCCTTGATTGCATTCATTCAGCATTTTTTTTTTAACACAAGGTCTCCTTCTGTCACCCAGGTTGGAGTGCAGTGGCATGATTTCGGCTCACTGCAACCTCCGCCTCCCGGGTTCAAGTGATTCTCATGCCTTAGCCTCCCACGTAACTGGGAATACAGGTGCGCTCCACCATACCCGGCTAATTTTTGTATTTTTTGGTAGAGATGAGGTTTCACCATGTTGGCCAGGCTTTCTCAAACTCCTGACCTCAAGTGATCCACCCACCTCAGCCTCCCAAAGTGCTGGGATTACAGGTGTGAGCCACTGTGCCTGGCCTAGCTTTGCCTTCAAAGGATCTCTGGGGCTGCTGTGTTGGGAATGGGCTAGGGGTGGGCAAGGGTAGAAGTAGGGTAACCTGTTAGGAGGCCGTTGCAAAAGTCCAGTAGGTGATGTGATTCACACCAGCAGTGGAAATGATGGGAGGTCGAAGGTGTCTAGCTGGAGTCTGGAAATAACCTCACTTGTCTCCGGAATTGACCTAATCCAATTCAGATAGTGTGGTTCCTGTTCTATTTTTAGTAGTCTCATGTCATTACTTATTAAATTAAGGTCTGTAAGTTCTACTTGACTTTGCTAAATTACTCTTCCATGTCTTAAGTCCAGGGAAAATGATAGTTCTTTGGCTCAGAGACCAGTGGCCATAATAGACACCATACATGAAATTATAGGGAAAGAAGTAATCCCTGATTCCAGTTTAATCAGGAAGACAGTGTTGGCAGAGATTGGCAGAGGCAGACATAAAGTCAACATGTTCAAAAGAAAAAACAAGAACATTTTCAGCATAGTGCTAGTCAGTTCTTTGAAGTGATAATTTATCTGTTTTAGATAAACAAATCTCGGATGCCGGCCGGGCTAAGTCTCCAGTGGCATAGCGCACAGCGCTCACCCGACTTGTCTCAGAGCCCTGAAGTCCGCCCAAGTTTTGAGTCTAGCCATAAATGAGGTTGTATCAGAGTAAGATGGATGGTAGCGTTGATTGTGATTGTGGTGAGCTGGAGCCACCTGATCACTAACAAAAGACATTTGTTAACCAACAGCCACCAGGGCTTCCTGTTGAAATACATAGCAACAAAGGAAGAAAAGAAGCAAAACGAAAATAGTGCTTACCAGCACCTTAGAACGGTGCTGCTCAGGACCAGTCCAACACTGAATATATCTGCACTATGAGGAGAATGTTCATAGAAGCCTATTGTGTGCATATTTATTCACATTTTTGTTAAATGTTAAATCATTTAGCACAGTAATCTGAGTGCATAGTATGTCATTACATTCCGTTTGAGTTTCTTGAGTGTTTTCTTTAAATGTCTGCAGAGTTGCTGCCCCTTTCTTGAACCATGAGTACTGCAATCTTTTTAATTCTCAATATGAGTAGAGCTTTTTGAGCATTAAATCTAAGGGGAACTCAACAGGCCTGTTTGGCATATGCAATGTACATCAAGAAACCATCTTGCTGTGGAAACATAATTATTTTTCTTCTCCTTTTTGAAAGATCTTTCCTTTTGATAACAGTTTTCTTCCTTGTTTTCACAAGTTCAACAATTTGAAAGAAAAAGGCAATAGTAAGGGTTTCAAACTGACAGAGAAATTTGAAAGTCTCATGAACATTCATGGTTTTGATCTGGGTTCTAGGTATGTGGACTTAAAACCATTGAGTTGTGGAGGCAATGGCTTGGTTTTTTCTGCTGTAGAAAATGACTGTGACAAAAGAATAGCCATCAAGAAAATTGTACTTACTGATCCCCAGAGTGGCAAACATGCTGTACCTGAAATCAAAATTGTTAGAAGACTTGATCATGATAACATTGTGAAAGTGTTTCAAATTCTTGGTCCCAGTGGAAGCCAATTAACAGACGATGTGGGCTCTCTTACAGAGCTGAACATTTTTACATTGTTCAGGAGTACATGGAGACAGACTTGGCTAATGTGCTGGAGCAGGGCCCTTTACTGAAAGAACATGCCAGGCTTTTCATGTATCAGTTGCTACGGGGGCTCAAGTATATTCACTCTGCAAATGTACTGCACAGAGATCTCAAACCAGCTAATCTTTTCATTGATACTGAAGACTTGGTGCTAAAGATAGGTGACTTTGGTCTTACACGGATTATGGATCCTCATTATCCCCATAAGGGTCATCTTTCTGAAGGATTGGTTACTAAATGGTACAGATCTTCACGTCTTTTACTTTCTCCTAATAATTACACGAAAGCCATTGACATGTGGGCAGCAGGCTGCATCTTTGCTGAAATGCTGACTGGTAAAACCCTTTTTGCAGGTGCACATGAACTTGAACAGATGCAGCTGATTTTAGAATCTATTCCTGTTGTACATGAGGAAGATCGTCAAGAGCTTCTCAGCGTAATTCCAGTTTACATTAGAAATGACATGACTGAGCCACACAAACCTTTAACTCAGCTGCTTCCAGGAATTAGTAGAGAAGCACTGGATTTCCTGGAACGAATTTTGACATTTAGCCCCATGGATGGGTTAACAGCAGAAGCAGTGCTCTCCCATCCTTCGTGAGCATATATTCTTTTCCATTGAATGAGCCAATTTCAAGCCATCCTTTTCATACTGAAGATGTATGAAGTTGATGATATTCAGCTTATGGATGAAACTCACAGCCACATTTATAACTGGGAAAGGTACCATGATTGTCAGTTTTCAGAGCATGATTGGCCTATACATAACAACTTTGATATTGATGAAGTTCAGCTTGATCCAAGAGCTTTGTCTGATGTCACCGATGAAGAGGAAGTACAAGTTGATCCCCGAAAATATTTGGATGGAGATCGGGAAAAGTATCTGGAAGATCCTGCTTTTGATACCAATTGCTCTACTGAGCCTTGTTGGCAGTACCCAGATCATCATGAAAACAAATACTGTTATCTGGAGTGTAGCCATACTTGTAACTACAAAACTAGGTCATCATCATATTTAGATAACTTAGTTTGGAGAGAGAGTGAAGTTAACCATTACTATGAACCCAAGCTTATTATAGATCTTTACAACTGGAAAGAACAAAGCAAAGAAAAATCTGATAAGAAAGGCAAATCAAAATGTGAAAGGAATGGATTGGTTAAAGCCCAGATAGCACTAGAGGAAGCATCACAGCAACTGGCCAGAAAAGGGAAAAGAATCAGGGATTTGATTTTGATTCCTTTATTGCAGGAACTGTTCAACTTAGTTCCCAACATGAGCCTACTGATGTTGATAAATTAAATGACTTGAATAGCTTAGTGTCCCAACTAGAGTTGAAAAGTTTGATATCAAAGTCAGTAAGCCAAGAAAAACAGGAAAAAGGAATGGCAAATTTGGCTCAATTGGAAGACATACCAATCTTCTTGGGACAGTTTGTGAGTGGTGGGGAGGACTGTTTTTTCATAAATCAGTTTTGTGAGGTAAGGAAGGATGAACAACTTGAGAAGGAAAACACTTACACTAGTTACCTGGACAAGTTCTTTAGCAGGAAAGAAGATACTGAAATGCTAGAAATGGAGCCCATAGAGGATAGGAAGCTTGGGGAGAGAGAGAGGAAATGAGGAAGGATTTCTGAACAACAGTGGGGAGTTCCTCTTTAACAAGCAGCTCGAGTCCATAGGCATCCCGCAGTTTCACAGTCCAGTTGGGTCACCACTCAAGTCCATACAGGCCACCTTAACACCTTCTGCTATGAAATCTTCCCCTCGAATTCCTCACAAAAACATACAGCAGCATTCTGAAACATCTGAACTAAAACACTTAGCAGACATTTATCTTTGTATTCTTCATGAAATGTGTTTTGTCTTTTATTACTACTAGTGTTTAATTCATTTTTTACTTGAATCAGATGGTGTCATTTAGTAAGGATTTTATTAGTTCTTGGTTTTTAAAATCCAGGCCTTCTTTTTCTACTTGTGAGATAGTTTTCATTTTAACTGGCATGTCATTCGCACACAAAAATAAAGACTAGAGCAAAATAATGCAACACAGGAGGAGACAAAAACAATGCACTAAGACAAGTAAAGAACATTCTCTCATAGAGCAATGATCTGTTTTACAGGAAACAAATCTTGCCTTGAAATTTACACAGTGAGACTGCACATAATTGCATGAAAATATCTATTTTTTCCTAAGACATTTTTCATTCATGAGTATTTTCAAGTTTTTCATACTGTACACATTTCTTAAAACACATGATACCAGCAGCAACTGAAAATGAATGCTGAATTTGGTACACGTGTTATCTACCTCAAGGTAACAAAAGTATGTGGCAAAACATATACCATCCATAGTGCTTCACAATATGCACTTCTATTTAGCCAGCATTTATTGTAGTAAACTATTCTTTTTTTTTTTTTTTTTGAGACGGAGTCTTGCTCTGTTGCCAGGCTGGAGTGCAGTGACACAGTCTTGGCTCACTGCAACCTCCGCCTCCTGGGTTCAAGCAATTCTTAAGCCTCAGCCTCCCAAGTAGCTGGGACCACAAGCGAGTACCACTACACCCAGCTAATTTTTGTATTTTTAGTAGAGATGGGGTTTCACCAGTTGGCCAGGATGGTCTTGATCTCTTGACCTTGTGATCTGCCTGCCTCGGCCTCCCAAAGTACTGGGATTGCAGGTGTGAGCCACCGCGCCTGGCGGTAAACTATTCTTATTAAGACTCATTCACTGTTTATAAAGGTTCTGGTATGCATTCTTTATAGTGAAGTGTTAATACATCACATCTTATTTCTTTTAGCAAATCAGTATATTTTCTGTATTTAATTATAAAAATTAACTTAGTTTTTAAAATTTACTTGCAAATACACTTGTTCCATTTGGCACTATGGTTTGTTGCCTGCCTAGCTGAATATATTATGTCAGCTTATCCCAAGGCTGTCCACATACTTAATTTACGTAAGTGTTCATTTTAAGTAACGTGCTCACTGTGTATAGGAATTTGTATTTTGGAGGTGCTTGATCTATCTCCAAAGAAAAATTAATTAGGAGTTACTTTATTATAAAATGCTCCTGGAAGTCTTAATTGTGTGTCTTTTATAAAAAAAAAAACACGAATGTTAGACTTGTGTGCATGGAAGTAATTAAGGTACATCGTTGTAGTTTAAAAGTTGTACATAATAAGACATTTTGTTTTTACTGTATGTTTTTACTGAATGATCTATTCCCCATCCCAAAACGAGCATGAATAAAATTAGATTAAATGTAGCATGTGGCATCGCAGTCTCTTAGAATTTGTTTCATCTATTTTATTTTATTGAATACTGTCAGTATCTTCGGTTATCTTGTTTGAAGAAAAAGGATAAATAAAGCATGGCCAGCAAAATAAATAAATAAACAAACAAATCTCAGCCAGGCACGTTGGCTCATGCCCTAACACTTTGGGAGGCCGAGGCAGGTGGATCACAAGGTCAGGAGTTCGAGACCAGCCTGGCCAATATGGTGAAACCCCATCTCTACTAAAAATACAAACAAACAAACAAAAATTAGCTCATGGTGGCACGCACCTGTAATCTCAGCTACACGGGAGGCTGAGGCAGGAGAATCGCTTGAACCTGGGAGGTGGAAGTTGCAGTGAGCAGAGAGGGCCACTGCACTCCAGCCTAGGTGACGGAGCAAGACTATCTCAAAAATAAAAAATAAAAAAATAGGCCAGGCACAGTGGCTCATGTCTGTAATCCCAGCACTTTGGGAGGCCGAGGCAGGTGGATCACCTGAAGTCGGGAATTCAAGACCAGCCTGACCAACATGGAGAAACCCTGTCTCTACTAAAAATACAAAACTTGCCGGGCATGGTGGTGCATGCCTGTAATCCCAGCTACTTGGAAGCTGAGGCAAGACAATCGCTTGAACCTGGGAGCAGAGGTTGTGGTGAGCCAAGATTGCGCCATTGCACTCCAGCATGGGCAGCAAGAGCATAACTCCGTCTCATAAAATAATAAAATAAAATTTAAAAATAAAAATAATCTCACTTTGGACAAGTCACCACAAGCTCTCTGTGTTTTGTTTCTTTTATCTGTAAGATGATAATAGTAAAATAATACTTGTCTACCTATTTCAGGGGTGTTGTGAAGATCAGAAACAAATAAAAATGAGAAAGCACGTGTGAAAACACTTTGCAAACTGAATGATATTATGATTGAAAGAGGAGGAAAAAGATGACCTAATGAATCATCTTTCTCCACCAGAACAAAATTTTGAAGTATTGATAATAGTGGTCTTTTCCTTGTCCAAATTTCATAAATAATAACACATAGTTGCCATTGGCCATTTGCTACATTCCATGTTGACCCATATGTTCTGATGACCATTTGTGTTGCAGAGCATTCTCATCCTTACAGTTTCAAATTTCTATTTTACTTGAGGATGTTTTCATGAACTTTCTTGTGACTGTTTCCAAGACATCCTCCTATGCAGACTGGTCTCATCCATACTGTGGTAACTTCAGAGGGCATCTCTTTTATAACAAGTTTGACCATTTACCTAATTTTTATTTCTACCCTGTTTGAGGTCTGTCGAATCCTGGTACTCAGTGGAGATTTAATTTCAGAATAGGAAGTTTCAAACTTGTAGAAGGGATTATATTTCAAAAGTTCACTCATAAATTGGTTGTTTTGGGTCAAGTGAGGTGGCTCACACCTGTAATCCCAGCACTTTGGGAGGCCAAGGCGGGCATATCATTTGAGGGAGGAGCTTGAGACCAGCCTGGCCAACATGGCAAAACCCCACCTCTACTAAACATACAAAAAATTGGCCTGGCATGGTGGTGCAGGCCTGTAATCCCAGCTACTCAGGATGTTGAGGCACCAGAATTGCTTGAACCTGGGAGTCAGAGGTTGCAGTGAGCTGAGGTTGCACCACTGTACTCCAGCCTGGGTGACAAAGAGAGACTCGGTCTTAAATAAATCAATCGATAAATAGATTTGGGATTCATTCTTAAGGTTTCACAAAAATGTGTGTTATGAATAATGATTCATTCCCCAAACTAAACTACAAATATCAGTTTGATCTTTGCATAGCTCAAATAGTACAGAGTATTAAATTTTAGATGTGGGAACCAACTGCTATGTTATGAAGGAAGGAAGACGTTTCTTTTTCTCTAGGAGGCTAACCAAAGGCAAAGTTTCAAATTAGGTCAGGTTGATCTTTGGCATCTCTCCTCCCCCTTAACCTCTCAGTTTTCCTTGTCCCAATTTCTAAGAGCTAATGTCCTTAATTGCCCCAGGTCGCACAATGCCTAGCACTATATTCACTCCACTCTGAGTGTTTCAAACTTTAAAATGACTTAAGTCCAGTATTCCCCATCTCAGCTGCTGTGGACAGCAGGGTGTCACATGTTAAGAGGAAAAGCAATTTGATTGAATTAATTTGCATTAATGTTGAAAGCTCAAAACCCTGCCAGAGGCTTTTGAGTTTGTTTTTTGTTTGTTTGTTTGTTTGTTTTGAGACTGAGTCTGGCTCTGTCTCCCAGACTGGAATGCAGTGGTATGATCTTGGCTCACTACAACCTCCTCCTCCAGGGCTCAAGGGATTCTCCTGCCTCAGCCTCCCGAGTAGCTGGGATTACAGGTGTGTGCCTCCATGCCTGGCTAGTTTTTGCATTTTTAGTAGAAATGGGGTTTCGCCATGTTGGCCAGGCTGGTCTTGAACTTAGGACCTTGTGATCCACCCACCTCGGCCTCCCAAAGTGCTGGGGTTACAGGAGTAAGCCACTGCACCAGGCACTTTTGAGTTTTTCAGAGTTTTTCAGGCTGGTTGCAGTGGCTCATGCCTCTAATTGCAGCACTTTGAGAGGCCGAGGTGAGTGGATCACCTGAGGTCAGGAGTTCAAGACCAGCCTGGCCAAAGTGGTGAAACCTCATCTCTACTAAAAATACAAAAATTAGCCGGGTGAGGTGGTGGGCCCCTGTAATCCCAGCTACTCGGGAGGCTGAGGCAGGATAATTACTTGAACCCGGAAGGTGAAACTCCATCTCAAAAAAAAAAAAGTTTTTCTTCTCATAATTTTTCAATGTGGAATTTTAGAAAGTATCATAAAGTGAGTGAAATATTCAGGTCATGTTAGCATATATAATTTACTGTACCCAGGTCACATCCTGAGAGCCTATCCACTTATTTCCCAGCTTTAGTCTAGTTTTTAAAGTTTTTTTTTTTCCCATTATTCTGCTTGTGAGTCCCCAGTTTCTCTAAAAATGTCAAGTTTTATTTTATTTTTCCAGTAATGTAGCAATAGCATCTAGGGGATTGCCAGTTTATAAAGAGGAACTGCCTACACCAATCTATTGATCAGAAACCTTATGACAAAATGAATGGGTGAGAGAAGGAAAGAAAGGCAGAAGCAGAGAAACTTCAGGTTGAGGTGAAGAACCACTGCCCAGCAGCTGTGGGGGAATAGGCATTCTCACACCGTGTGGATAGGTATGCACAATGGAACCAAACTCTAGAGAGGGTAATTAAACAATAACTATCAAACCTTTGATGCAGCAATCCTGCTCCTTGGAATTTATCTTATTGATAAATTGCAGGTACCCAAAAAGAATATATATAGATTCTGAATGCTAGGGAAAGAGGGCGAAAGAATTTATTAAAAGAATAAAGGAAAACGGGCACGGTGGCTCACACCTGTAATCCCAGCACTTTGGGAGGCCAAGGTGGGCGGATCACCTGACATCAGAAGTTCAAAACCAGTTGGACCAACATGGAGAAACCCCATCTCTACTAAAAGTACAAAATTAGCTGGGCATGGTGGCACATGCCTGTAATCCCAGCACTTTGGGAGGCCGAGGCGGGTGGATCACGAGGTCAAGAGATTGAGACCATCCTGGTCAACATGGTGAAACCCCATC